GGGGGGGGGAAGTGCCCTCCTAACAGGGGGCTGAGCGTGTTGGGTTTCTCCTGCTGGCTTTGCCAGGGCAGCTCTGGAACGAGCGCAGCTCCCAGGGCTTGCTCCTCGCTCTGATGTTACAAGGTTGGTTCAAAAATTAAACGATCTTTTCTAGAACTGAGGCAGCTTTTTCATCACCGGCCTCGGCGGGGCTGTCGAAAACCTGCCGTGGGGTGGGTCCCTTTGCAGGTCCTGGCGTGGTGCTGGGGCTTGGGTGTCTCTCTGCTTCCTTTGGCCCATCCCTGTTCCCCTTCCTTCCTCTGGTCTCTCCCACATGCGGTACCATAACCCTAGAAATTCCTGCTGCTCGGCAGGACCGGCTGCACCAGCCGGAGCTGTGGCAGCCCCGTGCCCCGGGGTGGAGGTGGCTGGGGAGGGATGCTCACGGGGAAAGGGGAGAAGCTGCCGGGCGGGTGCAGAGGTTTGCAGGCAGCTCCACTTTCCCCTTTCCAGCAGGAGCAGGTGAGGGGAGTTGCAAATGCAGCCTGGCAGGGCTGGCTGGCAGCATGGCCCCCAGGCAGTCTGGGCTGTGGGGAGACGTGGGACGCTGTGTGCTGGGATTTGGTGCTGCTGCTGCGCTCGAGTGTCCTTGTCAGGTCTGGGCTGTTGCCGTGGAGCTCCTGCGGCGATGCGCTGCGCCCGCTTGCACCCAGCACCCCTCTCTGCTTTCGCCGAAGCAGCCGGGCACCTTCCCTGTGCGGCAGGTGCTGTTTGCTCCTGGAGGCGTGGGGCTCAAATCTTCCCTCGCCTGGGCTGGACTCTGGTTTGGGGGTGCTGGTGGCTTTTCCCGGGAGCTGGGAGTGATGGAGTTGCATCTGCAAGGACCATCTGACCCCAGCTCTGAGTCTCTCCGTCTGTCACACCCTGTTACTAGATCATGTCTCAAAGCCAGCCCTCCGCTCCCTCTGCGCCCGCTTTAAATTTGCAGCATGTTCTTGGCACCTACCCACCTGAAAAGCAGCCGAGTGTGGATCCGACTGCGCGGAGAACTCGCTCTGACGGGACTTGGCTCGGTTTCCCCTCAGCACTGGCACAGACGCTCCCTTCGTGCTCTTACACCTCCCGCAGCTGCGGCTGTCGCCGGGCCCTCGCCACCTTCGGCCTCGTGCCCCAGCAAGGGCTCTGCTCACCGTCCTGTCGATCCTGTGGGATGGATCAGCCCCGTTTCTGAGGCTTCTGTAGCTTTAGGGTTTTGCACAAACATCAGGTATATACAGGCATCCCAAAATAACACTTAAGTGCTGGGTATTCTATGGTAGCTTGTAAATTTTCTCCTAACGACTCTGACTGCAAAGCTGGTTAGAGGAAAGATGCATTTTTTTTTAGCCAATTAAATTTTTTTAGAAGCAGTTAGCGATGGTTTGCCGAGTGGCTGCTTCCTTTCTGCGAGGCCGCTGTGGCTTTGGGGTGACTTTATTCTGCGGCAGGGACTGTGCCCTTCCAGCAGGCACCTCCCGACAGCACCCAGCGACTTGCCTTCTGCCTTGGTTACTTGCCCTGTGTATTCTGGATTGCGAATGGGCTCATCTCTGCTTGGCCTTTGCCTAGGAAAACCCTGAGAATACTTGGCCGAGTTTCGTGGAACAGCAGGAGACCTCGTGCTCCAGCTCGGCTCCTCTCAGCTCAGGGCTGCTTCCTGCAGCCCGGCTCAGAGCGGGTCTTGCAAAAGAGTCGGCCCGGGAGGCTGGCGAGTGGGCAGAGCCCCAGTGCCTCTGGCCTGCGGGAGAGGGGTGGCAAAAGGCACCAGGGCTGGAGGGCTCTGTCCTCAGCCTCCCCGACAGCAGAGGAAGAGAGAGGGAGCGTCAGGGAGGCCTGGCAGGAGGTGGGAGAGGGCAGGGGAGGCCAACCCAGCCCCGCTGCGGAGCGCAGGGGCCGAGGCGCCGCAGGCAGAGCGGGAGGGCGGCCGCTGCAGGGGCGCAGCAGGGGCGCCGAGGGTTTAAACACAGGCGGAGGCTGGTCCAGGGGTTTAAGCCCTGTGATACTTTAAAGACACAGTTATTCTCCATCCAGGCTCCTGAGAGCAGCAGACCTCCAGGCAGCATGTGTGTTTAGCTCGTGGGTTTTCACCGGGACTTTTTTTTTTTTCTCCACGGTTGTGATCAAACTCTTTGGGTGGCGACTGGGCATAGCACTGAATTCTCTCCGAAAACACTGGCACAGCCCGTTTGGTGTTGTGGCACGGTGGCCTCTCACGGAGGGGCTGCCTGGAGAGCCTCTGCACCGGGGCAGGGCCGCTGCTCCCAGGGGGCAGAGGAGGAAGACCCAGAAATGTCAGACCTTCAGCGCTGGCCTGGCATC